ATCAGCTTTTCAGTCCAGTAAAACACATCCTTACGAAAGCACCAACTCAAGGGATTCCAGCAGGACTCTGATAAAATCTAAACCCACACAGACTAGGCAGCAGGACTGAAAAAGATGATGGAAAAGCGATGGGATAACTGGAAACTAAAGGTGAACTGGCAGAGCAATGAACTAGAATCCGACACCACCAAAGGAGCCAGCAAGAAGAATACTGGCAAATATTTAACAAGTGTCATTAGCAGTGGCCCAACAACATATTCAATTAATATTTCCTTGTGGTTTGGGACAAGCTCTGCCATTTGGAACAGGCCAGCAACAGAACCCACTCAGCAAACAAACTCCTCTGGCAACATCACTGTGTGTACTCAACCATGGGTGCAAGACCAGGCAAAGGGCTGGGGTTTATGTTTTTATGTATAAATACAAATGCACAATGCCAAGGAGTGCACAAACACTTCTGTAGCTCGAGGAGGACACTAAAGAAGTGTTTTAACCCCACGGTGAAGCTGGCCCAGCCAGGCAGTGAGCACTCAGCTCCTGAAGGGAACATCACTTAACCCACACAGACCCAAGGCAACCTCCAGAAAACATGGGCATAACTGGTTACAGTGACCTTTCAAAGGTCCAAGAACAAAAGGAATGCAAGATGAAGAAAAACTGTCCTAAAATATTTGATTCTATCCCATCTTGCGAGTTTTAGCCTCTTTGTTTGCAAAGTGTTTGGGCATTTCAYGTATAGAAAGTCTGCAGCTTCCCCTGATTTGAAAGCTGCAAATGAACCTTGAGGACAAGCTTCAGGCATTGCACCAAGTTTCTGCATCAGATACACCTTAGACTGCCTTTAAAAGGTCCATTCCCCAGGAAGCACGAAGCATTTGAAAGAGAGATAAAGTGGGCAAACAAAGCTAAACCCATGGGCAATTTTAACCTTTATTTTGAACAAGTCYTGCTCCTCACCCCTGCAGTTCTAGGGGGATTTAAGGTTGAAGACTCAACTCTACCTTTTCTGCAGGCTATAAACAGGCAGCTCCTGTGCTTCCACTGTGTTTATGGCAGGAATTCTTGGCGCTGAAGGTGGGGAGGCCCTGGAAAAGGTGGCTCAGAGAAGCTGGGGCTGCCCCTGGATTTTTGGGAATGCCCAAGGTCAGGYTGGACAGGGCTTGGAGCACCCTGGGCCAGCAGAAGCTGTCCCTGCCATGGCAGGGGTGGGATGGGATGGGCTGGGCTTTAAGGTCCCTCCTAACCCCAACCATTGTCTGGCAGGAGGCCAGGAGAAAAGCAGKCACTGACCATGGGAGCTGAAGTCACACATGCTCGGGCTGCTGCTCTCGAGGAGTGGACAAAGCATGAGGCTGGCAGGTCACAGGCTGCTGGTGAAAGCAGAACAACCTGACAAGATGGACAAAGCCTCCCCCAAAACCATCCCTCAGCTAACACAGCTCCCTGGGACTCACGGAGCTGCCCAACCCAAGGGTTCAGGAGGCAGTCTGCAGTTCAAGCCCTTGAAGATTTGGGCAAAACACATTTTTCCATGAGAACCCACTGCAATCTGCACCTACCTAAATATCTCTCATCAGCTCCTGCTACCAGGTAACTTCTTCAGGAGTTCATCAATCTCCACGTGTCCATAAACACATCACTCCTCGTTTTAAAAAAATCCTCATTCTTGTATTTACCTTTTCCTGTTGTGACTGCACTGTTGTTTCTATCTTTTTCTGCACTAATGAGACGTTGCCTGTGAAACATAAGCACAGCAGAGAGTTGCATCTTCACCAGCATAAAGATTATGCAAAAAACTACTTTTACTGTTTTCATCTAGTCACAGAATGGTTTGGGTGAAYAGGGACCTTAAAGCCCATCATGTTCCACCCCCCTGCCATCTGCAGGGACACCTTCCACTATCCCAGGTTACTCCAAGCCCTCTCCAACCTGGCCTTTTTTTATTTTCCTAGTGATTCACCATCAGAAGGCAAGCAAGAAAGTGAAACTAATTTCCATGAAGGAGCTCACCAGGATCTCGGTAYCCTCCACCTGTCATCTCCCACCCTGGACACTCCCTGGGCCAACCAAGAACTTGGTAGCTCATATCGGGCAGTTTTCCTCTACTTTAGGACAGTCTGTTGAGGAGATTTTAGGAGATTTTAGGAGATGGCAGCACACAGACACAGAGTGCCCAACCAAGATTTCCTCCCAAGAGAATACAAGCTTTTCATGCCATACGTGTGCTTTCCTTCCACGCCTCCATTCCATTCAGCAAATGACAAATTCTTCTGGCATTCAGGTGATTTTCAAAGTTTTTTCAAAGCTTTTTCTAATCTGCCTCCTTTCTAAAGCTAAGTCCTGAAGCAAAACAAACAAACAAAACAATGAAACACAGGGCAGCAAAGTTAAAATTGTGAAGATTTAAATACATTTTTTCCGCTAAGTTTAGACCACCAAGGGCACAGCTTAATATCAGCGTTGGGATCTGTCAGATACACGTGCTAAAAAATGCCATCCAAGGACGAAGGGAAAAAGCAGAGAATCCTGGAAAGCTGCATCTTCCACGTTTCACTTTATCCAGAAAATCTGCAGCCGCTAAAACTTACTCTTTCTAACTGGGTGGCATTTTACATTTCCAAATGTAATTGAGTGAGCGTGTTGCCATGGCGACAGCAGGGTTCTGCAATAACTTTGTTGCCTTGTAATTGCTGTATATTTGTATACAAGCAGCTGAGCTTTCTTTAATTCAATGCCCTCAACTCTCCCAGCGAGGCTGCGGAGCAACGACGGCAGCTTTTTAGGCTGAGAACTCCGAACAGTGGTGCTGGAAACATCAGAAACGATTAAAACTCAGCGCYGCGACCGACCGCATTACACACACACACACACAAAAAAATAACCCCACCACGAAACCCTGCCAAGAACCAGATTATTATATAAACTTCAGAGCTCCTTAGCTTTTAAAAATGCTGCCGTTACAACAACAACAACAACAAGGAAAAAAAAATAAAAGCACAATTCAGATAATTAACTCCAGGTAGATTTGGCAACGAGCGAAGCACTTTGAGGGCAGGGAATAATGCAGCACGAGTCCCATTTATTGACAGGGCATCGCAATACCAGTAAATCAAAACGCATGGGCCAGGGGATTATTCACTCGCTGAGGCTCCCAGGGCCAAAATAATGCCTGCTCCATCTCCTCGGCCTCMGAGCAGCGTTACGAGGACAACGGGATGCAGCGCTGGGAAACGAGCACGGCAGCGAGCTGCGAAGACGGGAGGGAGCCGATGCCTCGCCGCACGCCCCATCCCAGGCTTTTACGAGGCGTTTTCACACCCTGAATCCACCCACACCTTCCCGACGCAGCTCCCCACTCCTTGGGAGCGTTTTCAGAGCTGTAATCCAGCCCGGAATATGAGGCAAGGCTGGAACACGAAATCCGCTCGTACGGGCGTTAGCGGTGACGACCCTAATTTATGCAAATCTGCCCAAACAGCCTATTGACAGGCAAAAAAAAMCATCAAAACCAGCACCTTCCACTACCGCCGAGTGGGCGCACAACACAATTACGCAAGTGCTTCGAGCGAAGGGCAGGCTCCCTTCCCCTCCAGCCGCTGCCCAGCGCCGAGCCCTGGCAGCGTCAAATTATTGTTATGTAAATCCATCTGCTCCGCGGAGCTGTCAGGGCGCCGCGAACGGCCCGGACAGCACATCTGGGCCGCGGGCAGCGATTCGGGGGAGCGCCGGCACGGCGCAGCATCGCTGTGCCCTGATAAATCCCTGCAGCAAAACCCACACGCGGCTGCCGGGCAACACCTCCCTGCCTCCCTCCGCGCTCCTCCGCCAGCCCCAAACCTCGGCTTTTTCTGCTCAATTTCGCCCCGCGCAAGCCAAGGCTTGAGGTTTCGCGGCGGCACACGTGGTCGATCCACCCTCGGCCCCCCAAAAGCGGGGAGCCGGGGCCGAGGCTGCAGCCCTGGGCCTCGGAGCTGTCACTGCCACCGCCGGGCTCCCCGAGAGCGCCGCGCCGCCGAGGGCAGCACCCCCGGTTCGCTCCTCCCGGGCTCAAAAAAAGCCATTTTGGGGTTGTTTTTTTTATAAGAGGAGGTCGGTGCCGAGGGGCCCTCGGCCGAACCCGGCAGCCCCGGGGAGCGGGCCGAGAGAACACAAACTTTCCCCAAGTCCCGCGGTATTCCCAGGATAACGACAAGGGAAGGAGGCGCAGGGGGAGAGGATGGAAGAAGCGACCCCGGGCCGCGGCCCGCCCGGCGCCG